GGGAGGAATCTGTGTACAAGTAAATGTGTACATATGCAACACGCAAGATGCATCGGCAAATTCACTGAACTCTGAACTTAAATATGTATGTATTAGTAATATGGAATAATCTTTCTTTTATTTAAATAAGGAAACTTATTTCAGTTGCTCCAAATATATAGGGAAACTACAAATAATTAATTTACTATTCCCGGAGAAATATTCAGGGACTCCCATCAGAGAGCAAGATTTACACTACAAACAAAGATTTCTTTAAAACTATATAGGTTTTCAAACTAATCTTTCTAGCCACCTTTCTTTGGCACTGCTGCTTCACCTGCAGCACATCAGACAAGGTAATAATTTATGATAATCATATGAAAATATACAATTAATATTCATCACTTCTCATTCTTCATCACTTTAGATGATCAGTAATGCAGAGTGAAAATGCTGTCAGATTTCTAATTGCTTTGTAATGGGCTTGAAACAGGGAAATCATTAAAGGCAAACAATCTGTCATTTGTCTGTTACTTTAACTATCTATCACACCAAAAAACTCATTAAAGAAATTGCTAATAAGCTACAAAGGACTATGCTCACGGTGGGTCCATAGGAGATTAAAAAGTAATACTATAAATTGCTTAAAATATCTTTTAAATATGATGCTTTTGTGGAAATTCATCAAAAGGCATCTATTCTTCAGCATATTTTTTAAACTGTGTGCTTTCGTTATTTTGGCATTTAATTCATCAGTGTAGAAATCCTTTTAGCATCCAAGACTTGTTTTTCATCAACCCTAAATAATTAAACCAAAAGGCTGCAAAAGAAGCAGAAATGCTAAATGTGTTTATTACTAGCAAACTGACACAGTAATAAAAAATAGTGCGGCGGCAGCCCTGGCACCGAGCGAGGAGGAGTGGATGTAAGCTGTGACGCTCGCGCCCGCCTCCCTCGGCATCTGAACTTGGAAGGCACCGTGCTTCTTTCACCTGAAGTGGGGCTGTCACCTTACAGAAATGACACTCCGCTGCAGAAATGGAGTGTGACGGCACAACGTTCTGCATAACATTAACTACCTGAAAACTCTGGAGATGCTAACCAACACCAACACAGCTCATTAAGTAATTTTACCAAAAAAAGAGAACCATTTTTAAAATGATCACGCACAAACTGTACATTTCTTTGCCAATTCTACCTTCTATATGAGGTGCTTACTATTTTCAAAACCTGTAATAATGGTAATAATTTTGTTAATAAAACGAGACACATAAACAAACAAAACCTAGAGTTTCTGGTGGTTATATAGCACAGATATGTTTTATTTTATTTTAGAAAAATATATGGATAACAAAGATCATAATGTTTTGCATTACTTTAATAATGCACTGAAGTATGAATTTAATTTCCTATAGAAAAGGGTCTCATGAATAAGCCCAACTTCTAAATGCGAGGATTTCTTCATATCCATTCAAACTGACATGAATCTGACAGCCTGAATGCAGCCTCACACACGCACTAGGTGCCACGGCTGACACGTACCAGTGAGTTCGAACTCACGTCAAAGGTTCCCTAACACCCCGGAAACATCTTCATTATACTCTCTAATTGACTTAAACAGACTTCCTATCAACTGTTTAGCACATTTTAACCTGCAAATTAACACCCTTTGATCATTCAGATTAACCTTTATTCTGTGAGTCAATTACAAGAGAAAATAAACTTTTTTT